TGCCGTGAAGGTCTCGGGAGCGAGTGCCGTGTTCCCTTGTCCCCAGACCTCGGGGTATCGCACCCTGCCTGGAGCCCCATGTGCCCCCCAGCAGGGCTTCACAACCCCCGTGTGGCTCCGCGGGCAGATATCATTGCAATTATTTGGGCAGCAGCTCAGATTTGCTGCCCCTCGCCTGGTCTCTGCTGGGTGCCAAACAGGAGCACCCCACTCCCAATCCGGAGGGGGGTCACCTTCTCCTCCGATGCCGGACACTGCGCAGAGCGAGGGCTGGGGCAGACCCAGCACCGTGACGAGTTCATTCCCTGCACATGGCCCCGCCGCGCTTGTTTATTCATCCAGGGACGAGCATGGGACGACCTTGAAATTTATAGGCTGAAGAGAGCAGTGAAATAACAGCTAAAATAAACAAATCATGCTGTAAAGCTTGAGAGCTATGAACCGGCTTCAACAAGTTGGAGTCAGGAAGGAGAGAAAGTGGAGATGGCCTGGAGAGATGTGATCCCCGGGGTCCCGGCATGGGCTCAGGAGCTGGACACGCCGAGGGTTTGACCCATGGGCTTCGCACGCCTCCATCCCCACTGGAGCATCTCTCCTACGAGGAAAGACTGAGGGAGCTGGGCTTGTTCAGCCTGGAGAAGAGAAGGCTGAGAGGGGACCTTAGAAATGCCTACAAATATCTGCAGGGTGGGTGTCAGGAGGATGGGGCCAGACTCTTTCCAGTGGTGCCCAGCGACAGGACAAGGGGCAACGGGCACAAACTGAAGCAGAGGAAGCTCCAGCTGAACATGAGGAAGAACTTCTTCCCTCTGAGGGTGACGGAGCCCTGGCCCAGGCTGCCCAGGGAGGCTGTGGAGTCTCCTTCTCTGGAGATATTCCCCCGCCTGGACGCGGTGCTGTGCAGCCTGCTCTGGGTGACCCTTTTTCGGCAGGGGGGTTGGACTGTGTGACCCACAGAGGTCCCTTCCAACCCCTGCCATGCTGGGATTCTGTGATTCAGGTGGTCCAAGTGGCCACATGCATGCCGTTGCTTTCCCAGGCTTTAGCGCCTTGATAAAAGACCGCCATTGAAGAGGAGCATGAGGCCGATCCCGAGCACCGGGCGAGTCCCCTGTGTGAGCTCCGGAGAGTGGCGTGATGCCCACGTGAAACCTGAACTGGTCGCCCTGCTCTGTAACTCCCGGCTCTGGGCTCCACTTCTCCCTCGGGTTTATTCTGGGCAACAGCACATTTGCTAGAAACAGTTAGCGTAGGGGATGAAGGAAAGAGGGCTTGAGAGCCTGTTGAGCTGGTTGTAATGGTCTCGTTTGAGCACGGTTGTCTTCTCTAGAAAGCAGGATTTGAATCTCATCCCGCTCTTCACCTCCCTTCAGCCTCGTCATCCTGTGGCAAAGCTGCCCTGGTTGCTGGCTGGGCATTTCTGAGCCGGGTTGCGTTCCTCTGTGCCTGTCCTCGTAGACCATAACGGCCCGGGGACGCCTGCAGCCCACCAAGGTCAAGGCTGAGCCACGTCCCCGGCGGCTGCGGGTCCCCCATGCTCTGGGCAGCGTGGCAGATCTTCCTGTCGGGCAAGCGTCCTCATGGTGGACGGTGGG